TTTGTGAGGAGGCGAAGGAGAGCTGCAACCACGCCTGGGCTGTTAAACCTATTGAATTTGGCGCTAGGTTGTGGGCAAAACTTTTGGAAAAACAATAAAGGTTGATTTATCATCGCCTCCGGCTCCATGGTTATTCTATACACGGTATTCTACCCAGCAATTTGGTGGTCAAAATTGTCGCGGATAATCCAGATGGAAAGGTAATTAGACTAGTGTCCGAGCGGTTTTAGAAAGTGTGTACCGGTGAATTAACTGAAAAATCGCACGGATATTTTTTCGCTCGAACGGGCCCTAAGATACTTAAATTGAAGAGCTAGTGAATGGAAATAGACTGAACAAATTCAGCCCAGTTGAGAATAGGCAGTAATATATTTAGTATATTTCAATTTCTTATATTTGTTTTTATAATTAACATTTATTAATTTACCAGGAAAAAAATTGTAAGAATTATGAAAATCAAACAATTCCATCAAAATAACTGTAAATAGAATGAGCACTTATTAAATTAAGTACAACTGAATGCCTAGACACATGTCAAAGGTGATATTTTTTATAAACATCTCTATTACTACCTTGGGCTCTTGGCTTTTATTAAGATCTAATCAGTTATCATTGAGAAGATACATTGTCAAGTGTTTCAGCATCAAAGACCTATGCTTAGTTGTTGCTGGAGCAGAACAACTGGCACCATCCATCATGCCCAGGGGATGAACAAACCTGCAGTGGCCTAAAGAGGCCTAACAAATTGTCAGCTGAGTTTGACAGCTAAACAGTCAAACCCTGATTTTGATCACAGGTCATGACCTCTGGGCCCAGTTCTGCATTGATAATGGTCATGATCACTTCCACAAGTATTTCCTGAATGTAAATCAACTTGTCAGAGATTGTTTGCGAAAAACACATCACTTTTGCAAAGTTTAGATAACAAAACTTACCTACTTTTTTTACCACTCTCTTTTAAACCCATGGTGACTCTGCTTTGCCATGAAGCTAGGCATTCCATCTGCCAAAAATTACTAAGGCGTTGAAATGTGACATCACTACGGAGGCCTGTATTCATGTCAGGTCTGATTTTGTTCTGCAATACTAACACATTCTCTGGAGCCAGAGATTCTCAAACAGTAGGAAATATGGCCTCTTAAACCATTTCTCACTTCTGTCTATATACCCCACTCTCTATTTGTTGAGCTATTGGGGGAACTGTAATATGGAGTTCCAGACCAGATCTTAGATAAGCCTTAGTATGCCCTAAATGATGTCACTGATGAGACATCAGTGAATCTAACACCAATTAACCTAGTTAGCTTGTTACCTTTTGAATTTATCCAAATATTTTAGTATATTAAGAACACATGGAAATATGTAGCTTGCTTCATAAGCATGTGAAGTACATCTTAAGTGCATGTGTGTGTGAAACAGCCGTAGCGTGTTAGGAATTTACATCTGCTTTGATTGATGTTAAACACTTATCAACACTGTTTTGGATTATACATTATATATAATAGTTATTAATTTTGCCACAGATACTATTTTGTCAACACATGACAGGTTTGAGAAGAAATGGTTAAAAAAATGTTGGTCCTTTTTCCAAGTAGGGATGGAAGGCTTTTTTCTACTCCGAAGTTGCTTATGCATTCACCAATGGGTATACTCTAACCTGGAATAAACATGTTGTATTCATATATACAGTCTATATGGGAAAGGCAAGGGACAGGGGCTAGTGCAATTTTTAGTTTTTTTGTTTGTTTGTTTGGTTTTTTTTTATTTATTAGACATTAGTTTCACAAGACAGGGCATTTTTTATTCTAAATAGCTCAACAATTGTGTTTTGTTTTTCATCGACTTATATTTTTCTATTCAGCTTCTGAAGCTCAAAGACTTTTTGACCTGGGAGGGTACAAAAACTGAGAATGCAGAACTAAATCTGTATTCCAGTAAAACTGAAAATGCTCATTTTTAGTATTTTAACCCACGTGGAACAAATTTGCAGCCATGGGGGAGTGAGAGTGGTGCAGCAGCACCCCTGCATCCCTCAGAACACCCCAGCCTATGCCCATGAACTTTAACATTAAATTGAAGGTAATAATACTTTGTATTAAGAGTACAGTATAATTTGTATATAAATTGACTGGGTTTTTAAGTAGATTTTAACGGTTTCTAATTTTTCTTTTTCACAGTATTGTATTGTTATTATCTTTTTTATACAAGTGACCCCAAATCTGCATGCATACATCCACCATTTACAACCTGCAGTAAAGTCAACTTTATGTAATACAGGAAATTATTGTGTGGAATATAGATATAACAGCTTTCTGATGCCTCAAAAAAAAGTTGGATAAATTCATCTCAATCTAAAGTTTAATTTTTTTTTTTAATTGTTGGGCAAGTCTAGATATTTTATATATATCCTTCACAATAAAGAAAATTTGAACCACACACGACCTTTCTCGACCAGCCATGCTTAAACTCGGTTTGCATTATCGACGGGCTGTAAAGTGGTTCACGCCCTGAGTGCGAGTATTTCATGGCTTATTATAAATGAAAATAAAATATACATTAAAAAATAATACAAAACAATGTGGATAAACTCACAATAAAAAAAATTAATTTGAGTACATCAGTTTGTTTTTAGTGTAAATGTGTTGCACATAGTGAAAATGTGCCATTTAATATCATTGTTGCTTATCGCCCAACTTCCAAACCCCCAACTCGCAGCATTGTTTTGACGGCTTTACTTTTAAGTACACATTTATCTAGGTTTACCATGTGCAATAGATTGGTTAAAAAAGTTAGTAAGGGTGTTTTTGAAGATTTAAAGCTGAAAGTTTTCAGCCACTTAATTTTCTAATTGAACCATCATGCAAAAACCCTGAAAAATTAAATAGAATTAAATGTTCACACTTTTATCAATTGTCACAAAAACATGGAAATTGTCCCCAAGTGTCAAAGTGACACATTCATTTACAGCTTTTTGATTTGATGAATAGCATTTCAAAGTCTTGTGTCATCAAGAGGAAGGAAATAGTTGAGAAAAACCCGAGCAATGGTAACAGTCGCAGGTTTTTTTTAAAAAAATGCCTTCATTTGAAGGTAATACTAATAAATATAGCAAGTTCTGGTTTAGTTGCAAATCGTCCTCCAAACTAAAGTTGTCTTTTCTAATAAAAGCCTGACGTTCATGTGTTTAAATTGGGATTTTTAGGTCACTGTAACTGTCTGGGGAAAGAATTATGACTAGGTTGGTAACACAGATGCATCCACTTAATTTGAATAGGTGGTCACTTTAATAGGCATAATTTAGCACATGTCGAAATTTTGATATATTGTATTAACATTTTTTTTTTGAAGAGTGAATCTTTTGTCAATAATGGTAAACTGTGAACATTCAGCAAATGGTAAAGTCCTAAACATAATAAATTCTACTTTATGATTAATTTTCTTTCAGTGCCTTCTGACAACCCTGATAGATTAGTTTTAAAATACTAAGATTTGTTGCTTTTGGGAAATTTCAGCAGAAACAAGTGGAGTTTGTCTGAAATTTTGTCATAAATTTTTTGACAATCAGATACA